CAGGCTTTGTCCCATTCTTTAGCTTGCAGGCAGTTCTATACTTACAGAACTGCACCCACAAATCCTCAGGATTTCCCCAATCCTTTCCTAACATTTCTCTATCCCATTTTGGGTTGCCCCAACCTTCCTGGGCAAACCCTTTCTCTATACCACTAAAATCCATGTCTATCATGACAGGCTTCATGTTGCTGTATGTGAACCAGTAGCACAATCCTGCCGACTACGCCAATTCTGTCAGCCAACGGTCAGGGCAGTGAGTCCCTTATGACCGGCTGAAGTTCTTTTAAATTGTGCTTAGTTCTGTTACAGCAACTGAAGGAGTCAGGTTAAAGCTTAAACAGTTGCTATTTTATTGTTACAGGGTAAACTTAGTTGTTAAATACTACTGCTGTGTTACAGATAACACAGCCACTACAAAGGACAGGACAGAAATTACACTAAGAAGTCACTTACAGGTACCATGAAACCCTTTTGGTTCTCTGAGCTCTTATTAAATGCATGCAAAATAGACACATAGCAGGTATATATTCTCACCCCTGCGTTCCAGACTTAGCGTGGCCAGCGTCTTTCTCTCAATCCCTCGGGAAGAAGTAGGGCGAGGTTGGGCGTCCCACAGACCTTGGGAGACAATCAATACCTGCCAGCAGGTATAGATGATTGGAGCTCAAATGGGGTGGGCTATTGAACCTCTTCCTGGGCTCAAGTGGCCAATTAGGAAAAATGGCTTTGAACACTAAGTTTCCCACGAAGGGTGCAAAGCATAATTTACACCTGGGAAAATGCAGACAATGGGCACCTCTGGTATGTGATGGGCGAAGATTCCTCTCCTGGGACAGTGCAGGCGTGTCAATTACTGGTACTAGCCATGAGGGCGACGGGAGGCCCCGGGTCGTCAGCTAGCCCATTTACTGTCTGGTTTCTGTTTATGGTGGAGTCAGGGACAGGCAGCACACCTGCATTCCCAGGGCATCAAAGGCTGACTGCCTTTCTCTTGCTCTCTGGGGGAGGGGGAAACAAGATGGGGTTTGTGTCTGGCTACAGAGGGCTCAAGAGCGATTCTTAGAGCCTCTGAGATCGACCGGTAGATCGTGATCTACCAGTTGGTGACCACGGGTGTAGACAAAGCCTCTGCCTCTCTCTCTCGTGTCTCAGGAATCATTGAAGGGAGGCCTGCACAGACCCTCCCAGCCCCCAGGCAAGACTGGGGCAACAGGGGGCAAGGCTAGTTTTTTTTATAAAAGAATGACAAATGTTAAACCCATTCAGCTCTCATAAGAATATGTTCTGACATCTTTTGGCAAATCACTCAAGGGACACGGTTAGGTTTAGAATTTTAATATATTCTGTCTTTGTTACTAACTCTGCACTATCAGAACTCCTGGGTTCTAGCTCAGCTCTTGGAGAGGGTAGGTTATAGCAGGGAGGAAATACATCTGAGTTCTATGCAAGATCATCAGATTGGCCATACTGGGAGAGACCAAGTGTCCATCTAGCCCCGTATCTTATCTTCTGACAGTGGCCAGTGCCAGGTGCTTCAGAGGGAGTGAACATAACAGGCAAGCATTGAGTGATTCATCCTGTCACCCATTCCCACCTTCTGGCAAACAGAGGTGAAGGACATGCATATGTTGGATCTCTGGGCACACTGGCTAATAGCCATTGAGGAACCTATTCTTTAATAACTTACCTAGTTCTTTTTTGAATCCTGTTTTAATTTTGGCTTTCACAACATCCTATGGTCAAGAGTTCTGCAGATCGACTGTGAAGATATATTTTCTTTTGTTTGTTCTATATCTGCTGCCTATTATGTTCATTGAGTGGCACCTAATTCTTGTGTTATGGTAAGGAGTAAATAACTCTTCTTTTTTCACTTTCTCCATACGAGTCATGAATTTACAGCCCTCTAGCATATCCCCCGTACTCCATCTCTGTTCAAAACTGAAAAGTCCCAGTCTTATTCATTTCTCCTCATACAACAGCAGATCCATATCCCTAATATTTTTTGTTGCCCTTTCCTGAACCTTTTTCAATGCCACAGTATCTTTTTTGAGATGAGAAGACCCATTTTAGCCATAGGGGTTTCTTGCTCAAGAAAACCCTGTTTCCATCCACACTAGCCTTTTTGCACAGGAGTTCTTGTGCAAAAAGGCTTATGCCTCGTCGGGAGAGGAATAACTCTTGCACAAAAATCCCTCTCTTCTGACGATCTACTGTAAACTTTCTTGTGCAAGAGCAGGCTTGTAGTGTAGACACTCTGCTGCAAGTTTTTGCGCAAAACCGGTTGCTTTTGTGCAAGAAGCCTGCAGTGTAGACATAGCCCCCGGGATAAGTTTGAATGAAGATACATCTCTCCAGCTATGTTAATTGCATAGCTTGAGTCAAAGTATCTTAAATTTAATTTTGGTGCTGTCCGCTCTGCAGGAGGTCAACAGGAGCACACTCTCCCTTCCACTTCTGCTCCTACAAGGAGTAAGAGTATGTCTACACTACCCCGCTAGTTCGAACTAGCGGGGGTAATGTAGTCATCCGCAGTTGCAAATGAAGCCCGGGATTTGAATTTTTCCTCGTGGAGTACAGCTAGTTTGGATTAGGAAGCCTAATCTGAACTAGCTACTCTGTGCCGCGTGTAGCCGTGTGGCATGGGGTTCGAAGTAGCCGGCATTTAAAAATGGCACCGGCCGGCTTCATGCAAATGAAGCCCGGGAAATTCAAATCCCGGGCTTCATTTGCAACTGCGGATGACTACATTACCCCCGCTAGTTCGAACTAGCGGGGTAGTGTAGACATACCCTAAAGGAACTACCAGCATCGACAGGAGCGCCCTCTCAGTTCCAATTAGTGTGTCTTCACTAGACCCACTAATTCAAACCCCAGAAGATCGACTGCAGCAGCTTCGATCTTCTCTGTAGCATAGACCTGGCCTGTCTTATTATTTATCCCTTTCTTATTGATTCCCAAAATTCTTTTTGCTTTTTTTTATTGATTCCCAAAATTCTTTTTGCTTTTTTTTACTGCTGCTGCACATTGCATGGATGTTTGGGGAACATCTGAAACTTTAGACTAAATAGGAGTTCAGATAAATGAAAGTGCTATTTTGAGGCGCAGTTTTACTGATATGGAAATCCAAGGAATGAAGGGAGGCAGGCTGATGTTAGCTTATTACTGTGTATTTTATTAAAAAGAGTAAAAACAACTTCCTTGAGAACTGCTATACAAATACAAAGCTGTTGATTTATGCTCACAGGTACAAAGAGGCTAACTGAGAAGCTGTGTGTGTATGTGTGTGATGAACATAAGGCTACTGGATGAACATGCTCTAGATTTGAGTAATTAGGATTTTTAAATAAAGGGAATTAGGAATTATGCTGTATTATAAAAGCTAATTCATTAATTCAGTTTAGTTACATGTCTTACACATGCCCATAGATCCCTGAGCAAAACCACAATATCTTTTTTGAGAGGAAGTGTAGTAATAAAAATAATACTATTGATAACAGCATGGTTCTCCTTATAAGGAAATTATTAGATGCATAAATACAATTAATACATATAAGAACCCTGATTATTATTGCATTGTCCAAGCTTTTATACCAGACTCATTAATAGCCGAAAACTTTATTGAAAGCTAAGTCCTCCCAACTATTCTGAAGTAATGTACTTAATGAGCTGCCTGAGGTGTTTTCTTTCAAAGTCACTGATACTTATATCACACTATCTGTATCCCTGAATGTCTGGATTTATCCCATTCTATTTTACATTATAGGGTCAGTAATAGAAGTATGTGATGACGGGGTGTGCATGAAAGAGGTACTATAGTGGCTCTGAAAGACACTGTGGTCTTTGCAAATCAATAAAAATTTTCTGAGTATTTCCTGAACATATTTCTTGAACTTCTCACCCACAAAAGCATAGATCAGTGGGTTCAGGCAGCAGTGGACGAAGGAGATGGTTTCAGTCACCTGCAAGGCCAGGTCTAGGTCTCTGCTTGTCTTGCAGTCATCTATGATGTTCAGGCTTCGCAAAGAGTCCAGAAAAAGCACAACATTGAAGGGAGTCCAGAAGAGAAAAAACACAATTACAACAGTGAAAACCAGCTTCATTGCTTTATACTTGTTTCGGTTCATGCATCTCTGCAGGTTTTTCAAGATGTGGGAGTAGCAGAAAATGAGAATGGCAAGTGGGATCACAAGACCTAAGATATTGACTTCAAAATTGGTTAGAAGTTTCCAGGTGGTCCTATTATTCGGGTAGTATGGAGCACACTTCATAATGCCATCTTCATCAAATTCTTGGATAAATATAAGATTAGGTACTGAAGCTAAAATAGTCATGGACCAAACCATGAGGCTTAGAACAATGCTGAGTCTAGACGTTCGAACTTTCAGAGCATACACAGCATGGACGATGGCTAAGTACCTGTCTATACTCACGAGGGTTATGAAGAATATGCTGCTGTAAAAGCCAATGTAGTAAACTCCACATATTATTTTACACATTTCATTTCCAAAAGTCCATTGGTCTGAAGCATAGTGAGCCAGGAAGGGGAGTGAGAAAACAAAGAGCAGATCAGAGATGGCAAGGTTCAGCAAATACACATCAGTCATTCTGGATAGTTTCTTACAAACTATCAGAACACAAATGACCAAACTGTTTCCTACAAAGCCAAACACAAACACCACACAGTAAAGGACTGGAAAAAACACTGATTCAAATCCCTTGATTCTCTCTGGGCTGCAGATGGAACCCCCCTCCTCAGGATAATAATCGTCCGAATCATTAAGAGGAAGTTCTGTCCCAGTTGAAACATCCATTGTGGGAGGACCTGTTCAAGAGCACAGAATTTAATACAATCTAACAATCCTGTTACTTAGCTAATAATCTAGGCACAATTCTGCCCTGACATCCCACACATCCCCACTGAAGTCCACAGAACTGCATAGACTGTAAAGAGGTAGAATTTGGCCCTGAGAACAAGCTAGTCTTTTCAGGGAAAAGAACATTTCAGCCTCATACAACAACTCAACCAAAGCCACCCACAGACCAAGGTACCTCTGGAAGTTCAGGGGAAGTTTAGATGGAAAGAGGCTGGGGGTAGAAGTGACAGTATCCCAACCCATTTCCCTAGGCCCTGTCTGGAGCCCTTTCCCATTAGGGAAGCAGGCAGGGATCTAGGGACACTGCTAGAGAAAAATTAAACCATCAAGGAAGGGAAATGAAAAGCTAGACATGGGGAGAGGGAGGTGGAAAGCCACCAGACAAAGAAACGCAAGCCAGCTAGAAAGCGAAGGGAGGAACCCTAGAGAAAGACAGGGAGAAGTACGAAAGGATAGAATTAACCTTGTAGAATAAGAACAACCAGAGTTCTCTGGTGGGAGCTGGGTGATCACTGGAACCTTGCCACCTGAATGAGGTGTTTGGGGGCAGCAGGAGCAGTTTGGAGGCCTGAGAGAACTGGAGGTGTTGGATAACCACGAGGGTGAGGGTGCCAACAGCCCTGCCACAAAACAAGGGGAAAAGTGCAGAGAGTATCCTACAGCGTTGCCTCCGGTGTGAAGACCTATGGGTCAAGACAGAATTTTGGGGATGATTCTCACCCACAACTGTGGTTTTTGCATGTGGAGAATGAGCAAACCCCAGCAGGGATCCTGGAGGACTACCAGGGGAAGTGGGGGAAGAACACCACCAGGAGGAGCATCATCTCCAGTAAAGGCATAAGAGCCTGGGAAAAGAGGAATTGTTCTGCCAGACAAGTAGATGGGGTGATCCTAGTTCCCTTGTTCAAGCCCTGTTTCAGCCATCCCTACTTTTTTTGAAAAAGTGGACATTTGTCCCATTGCTTCTGCCAACTTGATTAATGGAGAAGAGCAAATGACTCAGATGCCCATTTTTGTCAAACGAGTGGGCTGTGGAGGAACATGCAGTGGAGCAGGCAGTGATGCCAGCCCCGTGCAGGTGTGGAGGCAGGACTCGGGCAGCGGGCAGGCTGGGCTTCAGCAAGCAGTTACACCAACCCCAGCCTCTTGCAGGGTGGGGGTCCTCAGATGAATGGTGCAGACCAGCCCCACACAGGAGGGTGGAAGTCTCAGGCTAGCCCCATGCGGTGCCCTATTTTCCCAACAAGTGGGAGGTGTGACAGAAGGCTGAGAATCAGTAGCTGAACTATCACTCCGATCACTGTAAACCCAACTAGTTTCCCGGGAGAAGGGCCCAATGGAGGGAAGCTGAGCCAACCACAAAATCAGTCTGTGCTGGCCAAAGTTACGGAGCTAGTTAATCCAGTAACTGGAAGAGTAGAAAAACACCCAGCAAGAAAGTGCAAGGGTATGGGAGAGAGAGAATGGGGGGTGCTAGCAAGACCAAGATAAAAGGAGATCTCTTTGTTGGAGAGATCCTGCTCCTCTGTGGCAAAGGATCCTGATGCTGATATGTCACTGTAAAGACAGTTGCTGCATGGGACTGTGAAAGGGTACTGGCTGAGTTAACAAATAAAGTACACCGTGGTGTTTACAAACTGGAGGTGCTATAGCCGTTTGCTGGAGAGGACCGGAACAGAGGGCACCATCCCCGTCACAGGGCATCTTAAAGTGGAGGCACCTAAAATTACTAGATGCTTTTGAAATTTTTGATCAAAAAGTTCCATAACACACATTAAACCAACACTTGACTACCAGATTGGCTGCACAGAACATAGTCATGACTCAATGCAGAGGGTTTTACACATGCAGTTCTCAGGCACCCAAGGGTATGTCTACATTTGCACCCTCTTTTGCAACCGTGCTTCATTTGCATAGTTGCATTATGGCGCTATTTCAAAATACAAAACAAGGTGTAGATGCAGTTATTTTGGGAGAGCACCCTTCTTCCGAAATAAGCTTCATTGTATGAGGATTAAGGTTAACAGTTATTTTGGAAGAAGGGTGATCTCCCAATTAATCGCATCTACACCGCGTTTTGTATTTCGAAATAGTGCTATTTCAAAATACAGTAAAACTCCAATGGTCCGGCATCTGATGGTCCTGTACTCCTGATGGTCCGGCACCATCAGGAACCCGGAAGTGCTCCTGGCAGCCGGACCATTGGAGCTGCTCTGCCCTGCCCAGCGGCTGAATCCGGGAAGCCGGGGGCAGAGCAGCTGGGGTGCTGCCGGGTAGGTCCGGTAGCTCGTCCCCTCGGGGCTGCGGGACCAACCCGGCAGCACCCCAGCTGTCCCCAATTCAGCCGCTGCTGAAACTGACCAGCGGCTGACTCCAGGAAGCCCAAGGCAGAGGTGCAGTGCTGGGGGGGCCAAACC